AATATCTCTGCTTCAGGTACAGATCCTGGGGCTACCTCTGGGGTTGGGGACCCCTATGGGCACTCCATGTCTCCGAGCAGCCTTGCATCACAAGTGGGACATGCCGTGTGGGGTGTCATGTAGGAAAGAGCTGTGGGATGGAGGTCACCCTGACCTGCCAGCCCAGGTGACAAGCTACCCCTGCAGGCTCAGCCAGAAGCTCCAGGAGAAGGAGAAGGTGATTGAGAGCCTGGAGGTGAAGCTGCAGGACCGCTCTGAGTCCCCAGGTAGCAGCTGCCCACCCTCTGAGTCATCCCACTCTGCCACGAGCTCCTCCTTCACGTCTGAGGGGCTGGAGCCCTGCTCTGATGGGGATGCAGCCAGCGAGTGCAGTCAGTGCCATGAGGAGCCTGCCCAACTCACAGGTACTGCAGGGTGACCAGGGGCCACAACCACCTCTGGACATGTGGACTTGGCTGCTTAGGATGTGCCAGGGTCCCCAGTGCCCCAGGGAGAAGGGATCTTTGCTAGGCTGAGCCAGAGCCACGCTAACATCTCTCTCTCCTATCTCTAGGCCATCACTTGGACTCCTTGTCCAAACCTGTTAGTGCCCCCTTGCCTGCACTGGCCCCTGGGCTGTCCCCCTTCTTGTCTGCTGGGCCCCCCCCTCCCACGGCCCCACCATTCCTGGGCTGCTGTGGGACCTCTGTCTGCTCCCTGGCTGAGGCACAACAGGAACTGCAGGTGCTCCAGAGGCAACTGGGAGAAAGTGAGCACGCTGACTCTGGCTTGGGTTTGGTCCTGCCTGCCCTGCATGCTGTGCTGTGCCTCATCCCCTCCCACCCTCTCTGACCTGCCTATCCTGCCCTGGACCTTCTGCTTCTTGGGGATATGGTTTTGAGGTTGGGTCCCATCTCTCTGGCTGACAGATGATGGGGACATGTAGCTCTTGTGCAGAGAGGTCTTGGTGGGTGGAATGGACACGGCTGGAGGCAACACTAGCCCTTGGTGTGGGCACTTGGGTATCCCAGGGCCTTTGGGAAAGGGTAGTTTAGCTAGTTGTTCTGTAAGAGTGGGGCTGAGACCCTCCACCTTGTGTCACATAATCAGCAAGCTCTGGGAGAAACTCTGCTCTTCAGCAGGAGTGGGTTTGATCAGGGTGGGAGGTCAAGTGATGGGGGATCACTGTGGGGGAACACTGGGCTGCACTGTTGGGCAGAGCGAGAAGGGGGCAAAAAGCACATGATGGGAGTGTGTTGCCTCATTTTTTGTCCCTGCTCATTGTCCTTCTCCTCCCTGATTTGCCCTGTGTGTGGAGGTGTGGCACTGCCCGTGGCACCAGCAAAGCCTACAGTCCCACTGGGCCCCTTTGGAGAGGGCAGCAAAGCCCCGGCATCGTTCTGCCAGCACGGTGCACTGCAGAGCCTGGCTGAGCTCCCCGGGGCCACCTCAGCCCGTGTCCTCTGGGACGTACCCCCACCTGGCCAGACACCTTATGGGGCCCTGCCATTGGGGTGCACTTCCAGCCAGAAGCTAACAGGTATGGTCCATGTTGGAGACCACAGGGGCATCCTATGTGCGTGTGGGGGAACAGGGAGGAGATCTGGCACCAGAATGACTGTGGGACATGACTCTGGCATGGGGCAGGATAGTGGGGATGGCATGAGGCAGATGGCATTGCCTTTCCTGCCCTGAGCCCTCTCCTTGGCTGTGGCAGGGGCAGACCTGCTGGAGGAACACTTGGTGGAGATCCGCAGCCTGCGCCAGCGCCTCGAGGAGTCCATCTGCACCAACGACCGGCTCCGGGAGCAGCTGGAACGCCGCCTGGCCTCCACCAGCAAGGCCAGCGGTACGGGGCTGCACTGGGCCAGGGCTGCCGGGGTCCCAGGCTCTGCACAGCCTGTTGCACGGGGAGGGTGCTCACCCCGTGTACAGTGGGGCACTGGGGAGAGCGACTCAGCACTGGTCCCCTCTGCAGGATTGCCCAGTGATGTCTATGCCCAGACACCGGAGCTGGGGCTGCAGCTGAGCGGGGAGAACCAGGCTCTGCGTGAGGAAAACCGGACCGTGCGGCTCCAGCGTGACCACCTCTCCCAAGGTAGGGCTGGGCCACCAGCATACTGGGTCTCAGTCCCAGAGGGCTGAGTGGGGTGGCGGTGACACCTCCATGGTCTCTGTCAAGCAGAGCTGGTGCGGGTGCAGAAGGCACTCCTGTCTGCCTGCTCCCGGGTACGGGAGGCTGAAGCAGAGCTGGGCCAGAGGCGTGGGAAGCAGCGGAGGCTGGCAGAAGAGCTCGCTGAGTGCCAAGAGAGTGTCCGGCAGCTCCGGGACGAGCGGCTCTCTCTGCAGGAGGACAACAACAGGTAAGGTTTGGGGCACTGTGACCTTGGGGCCACAGGACTGGGTGGGCACCAGTCCCACGTGTTACCCCTTTGCAGGCTGCAGCACTCAGTGACACTCCTGCAGCAGCAGAGTGAGGAGCAGCGCCTGCTCCTGCAGACCCTGCGTGCAGAGCTGCACGTCTACGAGAGCCTCCCTGTCCCCTCTGCCGAGACACGAGCAGGTACAGGACCCGTGCCCAGCCCCCTCAGCCCCTGGTCTTGGGGTGCCTGGCCCCTCTGCAATCCTTGGGTGGTTCTAAACACCTCTCCTGTTGTGGCAGCAGGTGGGACATGGTGGCCTTGCTGGCAGGCAGAGAGGGAGGGCAGGACCCCAGCAGCCCCTGGCACAGAGCCACAGATGTCCTCAGGGGCTCAGATGCTTCTTGTTCTAGGCTGCTTCCCATCTCCTCCAGTGCGGGATGTTGGCACAAACGCAGCAGCTCCCCTCTTCTCCCCGCTGCCCTCTGACACGGTGGTGGTCCAGCGGATGGACGGTGGGTACCAGAGCCTGACCACACACAGGTCTTAGGAGCTTAGGAGCTGCTGAGACCTGACAAACTCATGGCAGCACTCTTGCTGAGCAAGACTGGAGAGCTCAGGGGAGAGCCAAGCCCCCAGGATGGGATGAGGAGGACCACGAGGGGAGCAGGCAGGGTTCCTCACCGATCCCTGCTTGTTCCACAGAGCCACAAGAGACAGACCCATTGGTGAGGAAGAGCGAGGGACTGACGGGGGCTCATGTTGTCGGCCGCCTGGACACATATCAAGCCCTGGAGCAGCACATCGTGGAGGGGAAGGCCCTGGCCCGTGAGCTGATGTGTCTCACGCGCCCGGCGCTTGGACTGCCCAACTGCCAGCTCGCGGGAAAGGAGGTAAAGTGTGGGCAGGACGGGGCTGGCAGCACCCGGGGGCCAGACCTTTGTGCACCATGTGTGACATGTCTCCTGAGCCCAGAATCAGCCCTGAGGCTTGCAGGGCTGGCAGGAGGCAGGGAGCCTCCAGCCTGGGGGCTGCTGCTGGCACTGTCCTGCCACACTGGGCTGGGCACGGCAAGTCCCCAGGTGTAGCGGGATGTGGGTGCCCCAGCAGCACCTGCTCCCGCACCCTTCTCCCACAGGCTCTGGGATGGGCAGGGACAGGGCAGGGGCACCTGTGGGGCAGTGCCAGCACCCTGCACAGCATCCTGGAAGAGTGTGTGTCTCTCCTCACTGCCTTCTGGAGCACCATGCTGCCTGTCAACCTCACCCAGCACCAGGGCAAAGTGAGCAGGGCCTGGGGACTGGCAGGGCACTGGGGCTAGGTGCTCACTGCTCATGACACTCCTCTCCTCTCCATGCTCCCAGGAGCAGGCACTACAGGGTGAGATTGCAGTGCTGCGGGCCCGGCTCTCTGAGAGGGAGGATGCTCTGCAGAGCACGGCCAAGCGGCTGCGCAGCACAGCACAGCTCAAGGACAGCATGGAGCACTTCATCGTCAGCCAGCGTACGTGGGCCCAGTGGCACGGCCAAGCTGGCTGGTCCCCAAGTACCTGGGGTGGTTCCACAGCACAAGGGCCTCACTGACCCCATCTCTCTCTCTCCCCTGCAGTGACCAGGACCCACAACGTGCTGCGCAAGGCCAGAACGAACCTGGAGGTGAGTTTGCCCTGGCAGCCAGTGTGGGATAGGGATGGGTATCTCTGCCCTAGTGAGCCCTGATGGCCTGGGGATGGGCACAGGTCACACACACCCTGTGGTGGCTGACAGGGGATGCTGAGGGCCAGCTGGGTGCAGTTGTGTGTTGGGGGGGGGGGCACACATTTTTGTTGTCTATCTGCAGCCTATGTGTCCATGTCTCCAGGGCACAGCAACTCTCCCTCTTACTGCCACGTGTGGTCTCTTGCCAGGTGAAGGCCCAGCAGGCCCTGCCTGTCTCTTGAGCCCTAGGCAGGGCAGGGAGCGCTGGCCTGCCATGGAACAGCCTGCTGGCTGCTGAGTCGTGCTATGCCAGAGGGCTGGAGCAGACCCTGTCCCTGCTACTCGGAGGGCTGGGGTGGACAGGGGTCTGGGGTGTGCTACACTATTAGTGGGTTTGGGCTGCTGTGGTGGTTGCATGCCCTTCACCAGCCTTTGCTTGGCATTGCAGCAGCAGCTGCTGGCTTGGACTTTGCCTGCCCCACGCTTCAGTGCTGGCCCCCTTCCACCCTTGGTGCTCAGTGGGGTGACAGAGCCCTCCACACTGAGCACCCCTTGCCCTGGGACCTGGTCCCACCTGTAACCCTGCTGAGTACCCACCCCTGCTCATGGATGTATGTATATGTATATAGACAGAGGTATCAGAATTGCGTTTTGGGGGCTTCCCAGGCATGTTGGGGCCCCAGCGCGGAAGGAAGATGTAAGAAATGCCATATTCTGTTCAGTGGCTGAAGAGTCCCCAATAAAGGTTACCTTTGGGTTGTGGTGTTTCTGGCCCGCCTGTCTCTGCAGCAGTGTTCCCCCTCCCCAACCCACCCACAGCACAGGGTGCCAAAGGCACCAGCTGGCCCCAAGGGGGTGGCTCTGTGCCCCACCCCAGCACCCCTAGGGCAGCTCTGTGCCCTACTGGGCGCTGCCTTTCCTCCTCTTGCTGTTTCAGAGCCCCCCTCCAACACCAGGCAAGCAGCACCGAGAACAATAAATACTGTAATAAATAGAGAAATGCCTGTCCCATGGCACTGCTGCGGCAGCAGGCGGTGCAGCCAGGGTCCTGGGGTGCCTGCCCGGCTCTGCTCGCCCCAGGCCCCTTCAGCGTGGGCATGTGCCAGTGCCCCTCTGGCTATGATGAAGCCAGCCCTGTCCCATAGAAGCACTCAGTGCTGGGGACAGAGCAGTCGCAGTCAGTCCTCGACGGTGCTGTCCCAGCGGCAGGTAAGCGTGGCTGTGTCGGGCTGTACCTTCCACCCTGCTGGCTCGATGCTGAACCTGGCAGGGGGCTGGGGCTCCAGAGCTGAGAGCCCTCCTCAAAGCTGGGGGACAGCCCCACAGCCAGGGCTGTGGGACAGGGGGCAGGTAGCAGGCTGGAGTGTCACGGAGCCCCTAGTGATCAAGGTGGCCTTTGGAAACTCAAGACCAAGACACCAGAGCAACCTTCAGCAGGTAGGACACATTCCTGGAGGCCTGGGGTGGGGGTAGTGCTAGGATCACCTTGAGGCCCTTGCAGGCTGGAGAAGACAGTCAGGGTGAAGCCCTTTCCGTGTTGGGCGTGAGGAAAGGCTGTTCTGGTGAGCAGCAAAGTGGTCCCAGAGACTCACAGAAGCCTAGGGGAGCTGCAGGTGGGCGGAAACCAAGGGCTAAATCGAACCACACCAGTAGGATGAGACAGTGTCACAGGCCCCAGCGGCCCTGGGCTCATTGCCAGGGCCTGTGTCCCTGCCAGGTTTGAGGCTGGAGCCAGCACCTAGTTCTCACACAGTCCTGTGGCCCAGTGTGTGCAGACAAAGCGGCGTTTCGTGTCCTGCGTGGGGGGTGGGCGAGGCTCTGGCTCAGATGGGCTTGTACAGCAGTGTGGTGACGTACTTCTTCTTGTAGCGGTGCGTGGCACTGAGCACCATCACGCCATCCTGCGAGAGGCACAGCGTCAGCAGGGGGACTGCAGCACTCCCAGGGCAGCCCTTGGGAGGAGGGCTCTGGGGGCTCAGAGAGCTGCCCCAGCCCATCCCTGCTGTCCCAAGTCTCACAGCCTGTGAGACACATCCAATACAGGATGCCAGGGCAAAGGATCTGGTATGGGGCTGCTCAGCTCCACCATGGTGCAGGGAGGCAGCTGAAGGGAATTGTAAGGAAGCCACAACCTCCACCCCTGCATGTGCCACACTTCAGTGGGCAGCCAATGCTGTCTTTAGTGGGTCCTCTGGTCCCATCTCCACCCCCTAGCTGTCCAGGTTCTGCTCCCTGCAGGTGCTGCAGGCTCCCGGAAGCTATGGCAGCTCCCATTCCCTCACCCAGCAGCCAAGTGGGACCTGCGCTTACCTTGATGGAGAGCGCGTAGAGGTGATTGAGCATGACGTGGTTGGGTTCGGGCAGCAGTGCTGGGTCGCACTAGGAGGAGAGAAGTGTCACAAGGGAACAGCAGAGCCCTGATCTCCCAGCCCTAGCCAGCACAGGGAGCTGCTGTCTCAGGCAGTTTGAGCTTCCTGGTGTCTGAACAGGAACAGAGCTCAGCTAAGCACCAGGAGGCCAAATCAGTGTGGCTAATGGGAAAAGTGATGCTTTTCCTAGGAAACGGCAAGGGCCAGGCCTCAGCCAAGGGGAGATCAGGCTCCCTGCAGACAGGACTCCCCTCTCACCCCCAGCGTGGCTTTCTGTGTGGGCAGAATGCTGGTACACACCGAGATATTGGTGTCCTTGTTCAGGATGACCTGGAGGAGATGAGGTGGGAGGATGGGTGGGGATTTGAAGCGCTCCTCGGGCCGGTATACGTACATCTCTTGGCCGTAAGGTCCAGGTGGTGAGCTTGATAAGTCTGAAGAGAAGAGAGAGGAGGAGACATGAAATGGGTAAAGCAGGATGGGAGAGCACAGAACAGTATCCCAGAAGCTGAGAAGGACCCAGCAGGATCTTTCAGGCACAAATATCTTCCACGAGCTATGGCCAGGTATCTATCCTTTAGCAACAGTTCAGCCTTTTCGCAGCAGAAAAAGCAGCCAGGTGAGCCCGGGGCATTTCCAAGCAGGGCTGTAAGCTGGTACATGCACTGACACAACACAAGCACCCCAGGGTATCCACCACAAGAACCCTGCACGTGTTCTTGGCACAGCCAGGTCCCTCTCCCACAGGAAGCAGCTGGCTTACCCCAGGGCTGTACCCTTGGCAGCAGGGACACAGGGATCAGTTTGCCTGCATGCTCTTGGTACTGCAGGACTGCCTGATGAGGGGGTCCAGGAAAAGCAAATGGGAACTCTAGACTGAACAGCTGCTCCACACATGGGAGGGACCACAGGAGCTTTTGATCACTGGAAGCTGGACTGGCCCCATCTCCCAGCTATATCTGATCTGATAATTTTGGAACAGCCAGCACCCAGAAGGGCTCCACCTCTCTGAGCTGCTGCTGCCTGCTGGCTTCTCTCCAGCAAAGTGCCTCTTGCCCAGGCTGGGAAAGGACACGGAGCTGAGCTGTATCTGAGATGGGGTCGTACCAGGGACCAACACACGACTGAGCTGTCTGCCAGCATTACACACCAAGCCAACACTGCTGGTGCCTGCGTGGTAACCTAACCTGCTGCTGTAACACAAGCAGAGGGGGAGGTCTGCAATGTGCTACCACTAGTACAAATTACCTTGGCATGTAAACCAAGAGTAGCTGCTGAAAATAACCTGGATCCTGCTCTCACCTAGCTCGTACCCCGGATCAGATGACTTACAGTTGCTCAGACAGAAAGGGCTGATGTTCCCAGCGTTCACCAGTCCAAAACGGCTCCCTCAGCCGCGCACAGGCACTGGCTCTGCTCCGGTGCTAGCACAGAACAAGTTACACCAGCACGGCCCCTCCAGAGAAATGAGGCCTCAGCCGTGGGCTGCTGCCAAACACTACTCATACTGAGTGCAGGCCCACACCTCCGCTCAGGGGGTCTGTTCACCCCAGAGCAGCGAGTCTCAAAGCAGAGGAGGTGGAAAATAGCACATGCAAAGCTGTAATGCCACAAAACTCACCCCGACCTGAGGTTTCTGAGCTCTCCAGGGAATCCACCTTCAATGCATCGAACACCTCGAAGTCAGACTTCTTGACGTGGATTAGGTTGTTAATTGTCCCCATCTGGCTGGTGACCACGGGCTGGAGAGAACTGAGGTAAGAATCTTCCTGTGTTCACCTCCAAATGAAGCACACTTAATGCTTCCCAGATCCTCCCAGCCCAAGCTGTCTTTGCTGCACCACTACCTCAGAGCACAGGTGGCTGGTGTCTATCTCTGCTCTGTGCTTGTTTATCCTGGAAGGATTTCCCTTTGCTCCTAGGCTCCTACATCACCTCCTATTTTCATCCTCCATTCTGTTACACGGGTGTGTTCTCCTTCCCATGCTGCTACCGCATGATCCAGTTTGGAGAACCTGCAAGTGAGTGATGACCCCATGGCCCATCTTCCCCTGTAGACAAATTCTCAATGGGATTTAAAGGCCTTCTGGTATTTCCCTGCCCCTCCCCAATGCTTCCCCATAAAGCATGACTAAGTACAGAGGAACCAGCCTCTGAAAGGACTCAGGGGAGGGAGGTGCCCCTTTTGTTTTGGCAGATGACCTCCTTTTCTTCCTGTTCCCTCTCTGTTGCAATTACATCCTGTCTAGTTCTCTGAAGAAGACAAGATCTGCAGGGATAAAGCATTGAACATTACCTCAGATGGGTCATGGACCCACTGGCCATCCACAAAAAATTTGTACTGGTGCTCTCCTTCTGGGAGATCCAGGATAGCAACAAAGTCGTTGTGGCTGTGCAGAAAGAAAAGATGCGCAACAACATCGCCCTGTTGATGCTCTGGAAGCTGCACTTCCATGGGGCCCCAGGAATCAGCACTGCCCAGCCCCTCTACCCTAACACCTTCATGTAGGGTTAGGCTTGCTCATCCTCAGTGACCTGAGGCATGGCCACAACAGGCACGAGCATTCCAAGCACTAGCACGGCTCAAAGCCCTGGGAGCCCAGCTGCAAGGAGAGCAGGAGGCAGTCCAGCCCTCCAAGCCCAGAGAAAGTGGATGTGACAGACACCCTGTGCAAGAAACACTGGAGAGGATGCATGGGCAAAGCTTCTGGCCCTGTGCTGGCATGGCAGGACGGGAGCAAGTGAGGCAGCTGTGTTTGTGAAGTCTGCAATTCCAGAAGAATTACTAAGAGTCCTACACAGAGCTTTCATGTAAATCACAGACATGCTGCAGAACAGCAAGACGTGTGAAGGACAACCAACCAACCCCCACTGACAGCAATACAAATAGGCATGGGGTAAAGCCACAGCCAAGGGAAGAGCTGGCAGCTTCCAGAGGGCTGCTGCATACTTGGGCAGGGCTCTGCTGCCAGGACTGGCTCCTGCATGCCATATAGGTGGGCAAGCACAGTGGCCTATCCTGTCCTGTCCCTCTGTTTCACAACTTACCAGAGTCCCTGCAGGACCATCAGGGAAGGAGCTGACTATGTATTTGTGCTCAGACTCCTAGCTTGGATGAACAGGAAAAGCCAGGTGAGCAAAGGGAACAGCGACCAGCACAGAGAAGGGAAAAAACATTCCTTGCAATGGAGCAGAGGAGAACATAGATTGACCTGAAGGACTGGCTACCTCTTGATGAGTGGGATCTTAGTGCTCCAGTTGTTGAAGGATCCAGAGATGAAGACCTCTTTGCCTCCATCGGCCCAGCGGATGACAGTTGGTCGAGCCTGTTGGGATGGTTTCACTGACTCCTCTAGATCTGGCTGCCACGACACAAACTCCTTGTCCCCAGGAATCTGAGCAAAGAAAACCAGAGCCTAAGACATGAAGACAACCATGAACACATTGACTTCCCCCTAGCCTCTACCACCACACCTTCACATCCCAGACAGGAGCACTGCAGAGCTCCTCCAGCCTCCCAGCTCCCCACAAACCCCTCTCAAGGCTGGGAGCACAGCCCCCCAGAGCCAGTGAGCTGAAGCTGCAGAGCGGAGGCAGGGAAGGGAGCGGCCAGCCCCTACCTTGGAGTCATGGGAGCTGAAAACGCTGGGGTCATCGGTGCTGCCCACCATGATCTTGTGCGGGTGCTCCTTGGTGGGGTGGGAGGCACCGGAGCCGTCCGAGCGGTGGGACTTGGAGCCATGGCGCTCCCCGGACACTCGCTCGCTGGTGGTGTTCCCCATGACAGCTCAGCAGCCTCTGTGAGGGAGAGAGAACAACACTGTACCTGTGCACATGGGCTCTGGCAGCGAGGAGAGGAGCAAAGGCACCGTTTCCCAGTGCTCTTTGCCAGAGGAGATGGACAGTAATCCTAAAAAAGGCCCAAAGTTCATTCCCATGACCAAGGTTGGGAGCTGAATGCTCAATAAACAAGACAGCTCAACTTAATTATAGCTGTATCCTTAAGAACCATCACTGTAGTTAAGCTGGTAATTTTTAAGACTCCAAAACCAATATTATTTCACCTGTGTCCAACATCAGCCCTCGGCAGCCATCAGAATTGAGGGGTTGATGGGAAAAATAAAGCCAACCTTTATTGGCAAATCATTGCTTAGCGTTAACAGAGCCTCTTTCACAGTCCCACAGTCAGGCTCTATAGACAAATCCCCTACATCCAGCCAGAAAACAAACAGAGAGTGAAAGTAGCAGCTGTTTTACAGCTCCCAACAAGTCTCCAAGAGCTCACAGGCAGAAGAGCAGAGTCTTGCGCCTGGCAAAGATGACAGGGAGCATTTAAAGTGTCCGAGTGGAATCGCCCAAGCTGGAGCTTGTCCAAGGAGTGGGGCTAATGCTGTGCTGTCTGCAAAAAGCTCAGCTCTCAGCAGCATTTACTTATGATTCACCAGGCAAGCCACCGTGTCAGCTGCAGCACAGCACAGCCAGGAGGTCCGCTTGTTGTGACTGAACCAGCGGCACCACCCCGAGCACTCTGGCATCTGCTGGGCTCTCTGGAGGGACACAATGAGGGAAGGGCAGCCCCAGCCACCTCAGCGTCCCTCTGCAGCTGGAGATGGGCTGCCATCCCCAGTCTCACCCAGATCAGAGAAAGCAGAACAGGACAACTGACCAAGCCACAAACAACCACACATCTCTTGGGACAAACAACAAAGCCACCGCAAGCTACACAGGATTCTTCAGGCCTTACCCAGTTCTCAGGAGCTAAGATGGATTGGGGCTCTTGCCTGCTTCTCAGGCTTATTTTGCAGCTTTCAGCTTACCGTGGCCTCTGTGGAGCAAGGCAAGGGCACAGCCAGCCTTGCTTCATGTGCTCACTTGTGACATTTGGAGGTTTGTTTAGAAGATCAAGTTATATGAAAGGTGCCAGGCAAGGCTGCCAGCCAAAGCCAGGCTTTAGAATATTATGAAGCAATTACTAAAGTATTTCTTAAATCCTGAGGGCTAAAAGGCAGCTCAAGAGGGCAGCTAACCCATATCTCCACCCTTCTCAGTGCAGATCAAGTGTATCTGATGATCCAGGTCAGGTGAGCTGCACCTCTTGCTCTGACATCTTCCCCCTCTGCTCTGAGGAGGCTCAGCCAGCTCCTCACAAAAACTGCCCCTGTGCCACTAACCTGTTGTTGAGGAGTTTCCTCCCCAGTACCTCCACTAAGGATCCCTTACTTCTTATCTACAGGGAGGAAGGCAGGAAAGGCTGAACATTCTCTTGTACCAGGACAGACCTGAGAGATACATGCAGGTGTTAATAGATGTGAAACTTCCGTTTCTTTTCTCTAAAAGGAATCCAGTCCTTCTGTCCCTTACAGATCACGCTCTCCAAACACCTCCCGAGGTTTATCCCAACCGGTGGTTCCTTTATGGTGTGTGCCATCCGAATCCCCTGCATCGAACACACAGGCATCCTTGCTTGTGCTGGGACAGCAGCCTGTGGTACCTGGCTTTGCTGAATTAACTTCTACAGCTCAAACCCTCCTTGTAGCTGCACGGCACGCTGTGATGGTGTGACACAGGTACGTCCGAGTCACAGATGGAAGCGCTGCCCACACCAGAGCCCAAGCAAAGCTCCGCGGCGTCTCGGCGCATCGGCTCCCAGTCTGGCAGCGAGCCCCCACCAGCCGCAGCCGCAGCGAGGTGTGTGCCTGCCTGCCCCATGGCAAGGCCCCTTCGGCTCCAGCCAGCCCCACCTCCCTACTCTGAAAATGACAAGTGAAATACACCAATTCCCCCCCGGGATCTGTCGCGCTCGCTGCCTCTCCCACCCGGGCAGTGCCCCGCGCTGGGAAGCACTGTCCGGCACCCGAGGGGTCTGTGCACAGGGACGGAGGTCTCTGCCCAGCATCCCGCCGGGATGGCACCTCCCGGAGCTGGCGTGGCCCGGGGAAGCCCGATCCGCCCGGGTTCTCCCTCCTCCTCCTCCTGAGGTTGTCGTAAGGTTAAGGGGATGAGCTGGGAAAGCGGGGGAGGAAAATCTCCCTCCGAGCAGGCAGGGCTGGGGCGGGGGCAGCCACGGCGGGCTCGGCCAAACCACCCGCGGCTCTGCCGTGGCCCACGGGAGGAGCGGGACACACCGGCAGGGACGGGGCCCTCCCGAGGGGCTGCGAGCCGCGGTCTGCACCGGTGCGGGCTCCGGGACACTGCCACACCGCCACACCGCGCGGCCACGCCTCGCTCACCGCCTGCCGCGGCGGCGCCCGGCCAGCCGCCACCTTCACCGCCACCCACCCGGGACACCCCGCCGCCCGCGGTCCCGGCCCGACCCCACCTGCCGCCGCCGCCGCCCCGCTCTCCGCCTCTGTCCAAGATGGCGCCACCCCCCGCCGGCCGCTGCGGGGCGCTCTGGCCCGCCCCCGCCCCGCTCCGCGGCCGCGCCCCGCCCCGGACCCGCGGCCCCGCCGCCGGGCACCCGCCATGTTTGGTGAGGGCGGCTCGGCCCGTTGTTGTTAATGGCGCGCGGGGGGTCGCACGGCTTCACCCCCGCCGGCGGCCATGTCTGCTGAGGGCAGGGCGGTGCCGGGGATGTTTGGGGGGCTGCGGGCAGCAAGCGGGCAGGGTGCTGCCCGTAGGCTGGGCAGACGACTCAGGATAGGCCCCACAGACTGAGACAGCCAAGCAGTGTGGCCCGTGGTCCCCTCGGCACGGAGACAAGCTTTATTGTCCTTTTCCTGAGACGCGTTCCCAGTTTCCCCACCACCTCAGTGTGACTTAACCCATAGACAGAGAGAGCTTGTGGTGCTGCCGGGCCAGGATTTAGGGGAGGGAAGTGACCCCCGTCCTCAGAGCAGCCCGTGACCAGGAGTTGCGTATCTGGCACAGCAGGAAGGCGGGACAGACCCGGCTGCACCTTCAAGGAAGGACTCCCTCCGTGCCTCCGGGCGTGGCGGCACACCTAGCAAGGAGCAACAGACACAAGCCCAAAGGAAAAGATTGCCGGGAGGACCCGCTGTCTCCTTCATTTTAGGCTAAGGAGAGCGCGAGCGGTAGACAAGGATGGCCGCAATCACGGCGAGGATGCTGAAGAGGACCTTGAGGATGCGGGGCAGGGCGCTGGGGCGGGCCCTGCCTGGGGGCTGCAGGGCTCTGACCACACGCTGCCGCTGGGTCAGGATGGCCTTCCTGGCACCCGCCCACGCACCCGGGCCCCGCAGCCGGTACTGGTACGGCGTGCAGGGACCGAAGGCCACCTCCAGAGCCAGCCTGGGGTCCGTGAGGAAGAGGGTGAGCAGGTTGGGCTTGACTCCCAGCTGGCAGGCGAGCTCGTCCATG